TCAGTATCATAGTTGCATGTCATACGAAATTTACTGGAATCTTTTTGGATGGATTGCATTCTGGGTTTTGAAAGACGATATGCATCCCAACGAGGGGTATTTTCATCAACAGAGAAACTCAAATTTAAGACCTTGCGAAAAAATAAACCTTTCTTTCGTAGTTCATATGACTGAATCAGTGTCCATGTCATCGTTGAATTCAAATCAAATTCACAGAAAACATCAAAGGGATTCATGTTATCATCAAAGACCATGTATAATCCTGGAACTCGCTTACCATTGATGTAACCACGACAGGATTTAACCACATCTTGACAGAGATTTCCTCCATAACCCATTGGACAGTTGCATTTAAAGCGACGTTTTGTGTAATCTGTGGGGAACAATGACTCGTGACTTCCGCCATTTTGACATGGGTTGACAAGACAACCAGGACTGCATGAAGTAGTTCGACCAACCTTGGAAAGAGAAGAATGAAAGACAATTGAACCTTAATGCATTTGATTTAAAAAGATAGTGGTATAGCCTATATACCGGGTGTTGAGTCCTTTATACGGTTTCTTTTAAGAAAATTAAAAAATATTAATTAATTAAACAAATAAAATATTAAAGAAGGAACCAGCCGAAAACTAGCAAGAAGACGGGGAAAAGCCGAAAGACTTACTAAAAGAAGCGAGCAAGGACACCGACGGTGACACTTGCAACAAGAGACTGAAAAACTTTATTCAGGAACCCGAAATATCATAATATCGTTAATGAGACGTCCAACCAAATAATTTATTTGTTTATAACAATGGAGCAATAGATTGTTGGAAATTATAAAACCCAATGAAGGTAAGTTTGTTTTAAATATTAATGTATTGTTTGCTTTTATAATTTCATTAATTTTGCGCATAATAAGGGGTAACTGACCTTGTTTTAGAGTTAAATTACTTTAAACATAAAATATCCGCCATGTTCTGACGTCATTGTTGCCAAAGCAACGGCTGTTAGGAGTAGTTTTTGAGTAACACCAATCAGATACTCTTTGTTATTAAACAGAAAGTCTTTAGTTATTGAGTAACACCAGTCAGATACTCTTTGTTATTAATTTAAACAAGTAATAAGTGCCCAGAAATTCATATCCAAATTAGAAAATCTTTAATTTTTAGTAAGTGTAGCAAGCCACCTTAATAAAAGTATCGTGTTACCATGACAACCACTTTAAATACTTCATGTTCCCGAAAATATAGCTAATGGTTTTGCAAGCAAGTCAAAGGGGTTTCTGCTTGCATGTATTTCTAGTTTACTATTGTTTTGCACGGATTATAACAATCTGCCTTTTCTGCGATAAGTAATGGGATCAACGTAAGCAAATTTGCAGATATTTTCGGACAACTTTTGTCTCCAGCTAGTAAAAATATATACACGCGCGCGAACGTGGAGAAAATCATAAAAGAAAGAGCAAATCCGATAATTATTTGGTAACGCAAGTAATTTAAGATATTGCGAATGTCATCCAGTGAATGATTATATGTCCGGTCATATTGGCAAAAAATTTCGCGTTTTATTTTAATTACCCTGTACTTATTGCAACTAACGTACTCAGATGAAATCATTCAGTCAACATTGATAATAAGATTAGAACACACACAGCCAAGAAAAAAATCTTGGCAAGCTAAAAATCTGGACAGGTTACTGCCAGCAGGACTTTCTGGCTAGGGACGAACCGACGCTTGTTTTGTTGTGCGCCCCTGCCATCATGGGCCCCTGACATTAAGGGCCTGTTTATATGATCCCGGCCGGGCGGGACGGGATGCTTACCGAGATCCCGCTCATAATACAAATTCTATAGAGTGTTTATATATCCCGCCATTTATCCCGTCGAGACGGGATCTCGGCAACAGATGCCGGGATCCCGCCTAAGTGAGATGAAAAATTCCCATATAAACACTTTATCCCGCCTAGCCGGGACGAAAAATTTCGAGGCGGGATGAATTTTTCCCTTTTGAGCATGCGTAAATGCCTTTATTGCAACAAAATATGACGTCAAGCACTTAAATGGCTTCATCCCGGCAATGTATTTTGTCCATATAAACACTAGGCGAGTATCCCGTCTAGGCGGGATAAAAACGTCCCGACCCGTCTAGGCGGGATCATATAAACAGGCCCTAAAACATTAGGAAAGATAAAAAATATAGATTTCGATTTTGAAAATCAATATTAAGATATTACAATTTATATTTTAAAAATCTACATTTACGGAAATATTACCGAAAAATGTAACAAATTACGGTTAACCCGTACATTAAATCAAAAGTTACTGAAAAATGGTATGTCCGAAAATGTTTAACCCCCTCCCGCTCGCCAACAATATTTTTGGGAAAAATGATTAATTAGCGACTGAAATATGTCATGTTTGATCAGTAATACTCCCACCCCAATGTTCATCCATCCGTCACTGGGCCTGGACCCCATCAGACGTTGCTCATTCGTCGTCCTTATCAAGACTGAGGCACGTCGCTGACTGCCAGACGATGGGCAACTATATCAAATTTCTGTCCTTTCCTTGAACATTTTGCAATTACAAAGATAAAAACGGTACTGATGTTCTGTTATCCTCTTTTAACCCCCATTTGATTTTGCGATGTGCTAAAGAAGATCTCCTTGCCATTTGAATATTTGTCGATTTAACACGCGCAAAGGTGGATTGCCCTGCACGATTTCGGTCTCAAATTTCTTGCTTGCGGTCGTGCAGTAACTTATAAAGCTTTTTTTCTTTATTTCCGAATACCACATAGGTAAACAGGAAATCGTTTAAAATCCAAGTTAAATTCACTGTATTCAAATTAGTTTAATTAAATTAATAAGCCGTTTTAATTTATGTTATTGTTTTACTAATTTAAGAAGCGTATAGGAGAGCTTGCACGAGACCTACGGTTTTGCCGTATGGACTCGTTAATTTAGAGAGCGAGAAACTTGATGATTGAAAATAAAAAATATATAATTTATGCTAATTGGAACACAGATCGTTGATATCATTGGCAGAATTTAAGTTAATTAGCATATATAATTTAATTTAGTCACGAGTTAAAAATAATATACGGTTGGAAGTTTTTAAAGATATCATATACCGTCAGTGTGGCAGTAAATAGTAGTAATATAGGTAGGTTGGACCCGGATTTTTGAGGCGGCGCATTATAATTAACATAACATGAGGAAGAGTGAGCTATTAAATATTTAAAGTGAGCAAGTGGGCAACATAATAAATGCTAATGCATAATGATATGCAAGGCGAGTTTGAGCAGGTTTGGGCGAAACAGTCATTAAGATGAGTTCAGCATTTTCATAAAAAAAACAGTTAATCCTGACTCTTATTATCACAATAGCCTAAGCGTCCTTATAAAATTCGACACATTCGTATGTTTGAGCGTTATTTCGCGGCCAAAGTAATATGATATAGAGCGTCTAGACGCAAAACCTAGGCCTACTCTGGGGCGGTAAATCGCCTTAAATCGCCCAAAATCGCATTAAATCCCGGGTTAAAACTGTCAAATTTCTCCTAAATCGCCTAGAATCGCTTAAAATCGCATTAACTCGCCAACATGCATTCTGTTTGATATATTCAGTCTATGTACACAAGCTTAACAATTGCTGCTATTTTGCTGGCAAATCATGTAATCCAGATGTTTTGCAATCAAAAGTAATGCAACATGGATAAATCAAATAAGTGGATTAGGCTGACAATATTTAGTCACTCAATAGGCTCCAGTCATAAACAAAAACAGAGCCTTTTTCTGCGTTATGCAAACATTACAATAATTAGGCAATTCTGGGATATGAAAGACCCATAGATGCCATTACACTACCAGCAACAAAATTGAGTTACTAGTTAATTTCATTATTGGTGTAAAATGCGGAGGCTGGGCTACAATTTATATGGACTATGGGGGCTGGGCTACAAATTAATCTATAATATACATGGCTTCTCAAAGCCTAATTTCTGTTAGTACAACAGTAGGAGACTATGATAATGAGAGTCAATGAGTACGAGTATATAATAAGGTCATCCTGCAATTTGTGCACTGTTGCATGTAGATCGAGCACTGCATTGTATACAATGGTTGTACTTCGACATGTGCATGGTTATACTCTAGCTCCTAGTTATAATTATATTGGCTATCAAACGAAAAACACACGTGAGGTTATGAGCGAGATTTGCAAGTTTTGCAACTCTCATCTATTAAATTTTCCAGACCTGTATATAAAATTAACAGTAAAACAATGATTACATCGTACATACCATACAATCTTTGTTGTTGTTTGTTTGCACCACGATGTAGTGCGCGGTGTGCCATTTGTTTAATTGCTGCCGAAGGCAGCACACTATTCTTAACATGAAGTTTCGCGTTTACTTGTGTCCAGTCTCTTTGACCGAGCTATGTATTGTCGAGATCTCGATTTTTTGTCTGTCTGTCTGTCTGTCTGTCTGTCTGTCTGTCTGTCTGTCTGTCTGTCTGTCTGTCTGTCTGTCTGTCTGTCTGTCTGTCTGTCTGTCTGTCTGTCTGTCTGTCTGTCTGTCTGTCTGTCTGTCGGTCTGTCTGTCTGTCTGTCTGTCTGTCTGTCTGTCTGTCTGTCTGTCTGTCTGTCTGTCTGTCTGTCTGTCTGTCTGTCTGTCTGTCTGTCTGTCTGTCTGTCTGTCTGTCTGTCTGTCTGTCTGTCTGTCTGTCTGTCTGTCTGTGAAGATGTCGTAATTCCGAGGATATAATTAAGGCTTCAGGAAGTGTCGTAATTCCGAGGATATAATTAAGGCTTCAGGAAGTTTTTTTAAAAGAAGGGGGCGGTCAAACTTTACTTTGTATTGCACACGGATCAACTATAAAGTATTCAAGCTCTTCTCAAGGACAGTAATACAAGCTTATTTTCACGATGCAAAACATGGACAATATTTTCAATAATTCAGGTAAGGATAGCTTTATTTCTTTTTGGTAATATGGATACATGAAGGCATTTTTTAATATATTTAGAACACAGCGATTTCATGAATTTAGATTCAGCATGAATTTATCATGAATTTCAGAATTTACCCTGCACTCAGTGATCGTCTTTATAGTTAATATACAAGTGGTCAAAATCTACTTTTAGTTTATTTGTTTGTGTGGTGATTTCCAAAGGCGATGCGTTTATAGTGTTTATTCTACATGTTTATAGCAATATTCTTCAGCACGTTTTAAAAAAAAACGTGGAATGTTGTGTAGCAGGGCTTATAATAATCAGGCTTAATATTATAAAGATATCCTTATAGCAATCCAGTGTGATTAATTGTTGTCTGCAAGGGCGCAAGCTCTTTTCGATTGGGTTGGGGGGCTGAAAGTGAGGGCCGAAGACCCGACGAAATTTTTAAATTTAGAGTCTCTAAAATGCCATTTCCTGGACTTTGGGAAGATTTGACAGAATTCTGATGGTCAGAAAACAACTTTTTAGTATGTAGAAATTTACAATTCAGTAGTACTAAATGGGCGAAGCCATATTTAATTAACTATATATTGAATAGGTTGCAGGAAAGTATGGGTGATATCTATCTTCATTCTTTGCAGTTTGTCATGGATTAAATGATAAAGGTCTGCATGATTTTGAAAAATGAATGATTATAACTAGCAAATTATTGGGGGCTTGCAGCCCCACAGCCCCACCGGTTCCCATGGCCCTGAAAGTAGGAGGAGTGAAGTGAAATTTTGGTGGGGCTGAACACTTTATAACACCTTGGGGTGTTATACGCAGTACTAACCCCCCAGTAAATCCATCCATGGTTGTCTGCACATATTAACTTACCGGCAGTTACATATAATAGCATGTCAACCGACTTTTGTACAAGGTATGACGGTTTGTAAAAATATATCTCTGAGATATGTCCATTGTCAGCATAATAATTAAGGAATATTCCCACCGGCCTACATAATACATTCATATATTCACCTGGCTGTGTCACTGCATCTCAGGGTATGCTATATTTTTTTGATAATGCTCACAATGTCTTTCTTATTATATAGTTTTGAAGTTCTGACTGAGTACAATCTTAATTGTTACAAAGGAATGGTGTCATCTGAAGCTGATGTATTAAATTAAACAAAAATGACAGTTGTTCTGTGATAGGGGTAGTTTTGTATTATAGTATTTCTATATATGAAATTGTTATTAAATTTTACATGTCCAATGATTTATTCAAGTATTATTATTGTTGATGTATATTTATTATATAAAGTATAGTGCTTTATAGAGATTTCGAGCACTGATAAAACTGATAATCTCACATGTGAGATTATTTATGATAATCTCACATGTGAAAATGAGTCTTTTCAATTATCGCTTTTCTGAAAAAAATTATATCACTTTTCAAAAACTGTCCTTTATATAGTAAACATAAAAATGCATGGATGCTTGGAAATACCAGGTTTATTTCTTGTGTTCCGCGCACCCATGTATTATTCTCTATATAAATATATATTGTACAGTACTCAGTGGCAAGCTAGTCATCGCAACTCGTCATGCTTTGTGCTATGCCTATGCTGATAATCTTGCATCTATTTGAACGATACAAATCATTAATTTAAAAACTTGCATAGCATGACTTGTTGCTATGGCTAGCTTCACCACTGACAGCATTATAATTATACATAACAAAAGCAAGAAGTTATAAGCATTGAAGGTATTCATATAAAACCACAGGTGGCCAGGCTGTGTGTGGGTATTTATTTATTTTTTAATTTTATTATATTTTGCATTACAAATTAACTTTAAATTATAAAGTATAACTTACTTAGTTCCCATTATGTATTCTTTATGTATTTTGGGGTGGTTTTAGTTTGATATAATGATATAAAAACATCATGAGAGTAATGGCAAAGCGGGATCATCTAAACAGCCCTTAATTATTCAGCAAATTGTGCATGATGCCTTTGGTCCTTTGGGGGTGAGGCAGCATTTTCCTTGCGATAGTAACTTCTAGTTAATATCATTATGTTTAGTAATTTTTAAAAATAATTTAGAATTCCTACCATTTATATGCGATATACTTCATGTAAATTAAACTTTACGGCATTACGCCGACAGTTTCCGAATGCGTGACGATACTGTTTCTGGACATAGATATCAAACATAATTTTATAAAACATGTTTGTTGAAACAGTTTAATTAAATAAAATGCAAGCTAAATAAAGAAGTGTTGGCAAGATACAAAACAAGACAATTTCACTTACAAGGGTGACAAGGTAATTTATAGGATTAAAGCTTATTGTAACTGTATAAATACATTGTGCGTTTCTACTCCCTGTGGGCTGTGGTTCTTTTGCAATTAATAATATTAAAGTTTGAGACATGTGTAGTTTAGTTATAGGTTGGCATATTGCAATTATGTACCGTACATGCCTCTTAAGTAGAGTATATTTATCAACTGTTTACAATATTTATGGTATATAATGTAGCCATGAATGACCAAATGACCCCACAGGATGAACTCCAATGGCTTCTAAATAGACAATGGATGAAAAGTTCATGAATATTGAGCTTTATATATGATTCGGGTTAAATACAATAATTATTAACCTAGCTTTATATAAAATGTGCATACATGTTCTAATAATTGTATTTTGCTTCATACAATGCATATGTGTGTGGAAACATTACATTATTATTCAGCTCACTCCCCTTTGGGGCTTTTCAGTGACCAATTACATCAAGTATTAGGATTACTTATGTTAGACTAGACTATTTATCTTTACAACAATGAGAATATGATATTACTTTTCTAACTGTGTTTATCCTAACTCACCCTGCCAATTTTGCCCTGTGGGAGGAAACCGGAGCAAAATATAAAATTCAATTACCTTGAAAACACCTAAAGTGCAATCCCTTAAATTTAGAATTTTCTCTTAAATCGCATTAAATAGCAGTGCTTGAAAGTCCCAGTTTTTCCTTAAATTGCCTAAAATCGCCCAAAATCGCATTATATCACGGCGATTTAAGGCGATTTACCGCCCCAGAGTAGGCCTAAACCTGCGTCCTGTTCGACTACAAAACGTGATACATTTTGGTTCTGTGCACAAAACCTAGCTGCAAATTCTTTTGCCGAGATAAAGATTGCTATATCTTCACGATAGCCGTAGAAGACTTTTGAAAGACTTTCCCTTAACATCCCAAGTTTGTCCATCAAAGACCGGCATAGTCACGTACAGTTAAAGCAAGATGAAGCAAACGTACGAGCGCCTATTCTTTGTACACTATGAACGAGAACATCCGTAAAATTTTGGCTAAGGGAGACGTTTTTGAACGGCCAAAACCTGTGTGCCAACATGGAATGGCGTGCTATGAATAAAAAGTCAAGAAAGAGGGGCCTAACCTAAGCCGGCTGTTGTACTGCTGCCCAAACAAAACACTTGTGGGTTTTTCTGATGGAACAAGGAAGAACCACGTGTCCTCAATCCTGGCATTGTGCTATTCAGTAATTCACAACAATACCAGTTCAAGATTGAAGGAATAGGAGAGACATTTCATAGTAGCTACTAAATCTAATACTAAAGAAACATACGCCAAATATACTTTTCTTAAATATCGTCAAGTGATAATTATTTTGTTCTATGACCAAGTGTCCAAGTGTATGTTAGACATAAATATATACAAATATGAAGTTTAACAGTCCAATATCTTAATTTTAAAAAACATGGACATAGAACAAAATAATTATCACTTGATGATATGTTAGCGCTTTAACAAGTGAACTTAATCAAATCGACATCTTTCAGCTGTATTTATGTGTGACAATAAATGTGTTTTTTGTTGCTGCGTGTCGTTTAGTCATTAGGCGACCCATATTATTGAGATGACTAGCATGTGCATTTCGTTTATCTTTTAACCTTGGTGGGGAGACGGTCAATGACGAGTTGAAGCAAAATGAAATTGATATCGATATGATAAGCAAACTTTATCGTTTCATATAAATGCAATTCTCAAATGAAACCCCGTTTTCGAAACGGAGATTTAAGGTAGCTCAATACAGTTTGTTAAAAATGGAAAATTCACGATTTAGATACTTATTTTTGCACAACTATTACATGTTGATAAACAAAGAGTATCCGCCTTATATAAAACAACATCGAAAGAGTTTGTATTTTTGCACATAAGTTACGCAACTGCCGTTGCTATGACAACAATGACGTTTCAAGATGGCGTATATTTTGGATTTAAAGTAATTTAACTCGTAAACGACATCGGTGACCCTCAAATTTTATTTCAAAAAAATAATTTCTCTTAGTATAATGAATTATTTTGACAATTTAAAAAAAATCTTGAATTTAAAAAATTTCGGCTACACATTTTTTTTTAAATTGTCAAAATAATTGATTATACAAAGAGAAATCATTCATTAAAATAAAATTTGGTGGTCACCGATGTCGTTTGCGAGTTAAATTACTTTAAAGCTATAATATCAGCCATCTTGAAACGTCATTGTTGCCGTAGCAACGGCAGTTGCGTAACGTTTATGCGTACTTTAACCTGCGTACTTTAATCTTGTCCTTTACTTTGTAGTTAGCTTTCTTCACTCTAACAAGATCTCTACATCTAAAGCTAAACGTGATTGATATACAGCCGGTCCAAATGGTAGTTAAGCAAGTCTATATAAGATACAACAACCAAACTAAAAGTTTTAAACCTTAATAAAACGATAATGTTCACAACCACATATTCAGTGCACAATATTCAAATTGACTGATTAACGAGAGATATGAGAGTGTTATTTAATTTTGACTTATCCACCGTTTTAGTTAATTAAATGGGCTTGATTCAATCGGTTCCCAATCTCTTTTGTACATAACTTCCCTGGCTTCATTCCTGCTCTTTTAAAATATTTAATGATACTTAGCAGCCAATATTGAAATTCGCCACAACATTATATACATCAATTGCAAGATGCAGTGTGTCACTAATTCCAACAAACACACTTTTTGGAAGATTATACCGAATGACGCATTTTAGAGACTCATTCTGGTTTTGAGTCTTCCCATAAAAACATTTATCAAGCAATCTATCATTACTTAACCTGACAAAGATTGATTTGACCTCCCTGATCATCGGTCACGGGAGACCAGGACCTGTTTTGGCTCATTTGTATGCAGTTCGCTTTGTTGCTAGGCTTTAGGCTTGTGTGGTGGAGGTATGGCCATTAAGCCACAAAATTTCTTTTCAGATTCTGCTCCTTTCCTAATATAATAGCATTCATTCTATAAACAATTCTCCTGTTTAGTTCATGATAATTTTAAATTTTTTTCGAAGTGTATAGAAAGAATGTTGCCACCCACATGAAGAGCAGCGTAGATGTAGTAGTGAGGAGCAACCTTTTCTGTCAGATACGTTCTCGGTGATAGAGACAAGTTGCTCACCACAGCAACTAAGAGCTACTTGTTGTAAAACATTAGCTAATATCTCCATGCTAAACATCCTGTAGCCAGGTGTAGATGATCGGCCACAATTCTCCTCACACGAATTGTGAATGCTGACTGAATTTTCGCGTTGCACAGGACTCAATTCTTTTTTTCTCACTAAACTGGTTTCCGTGATAACTTATATTTGCGCTTTCTTTTATAAATTTTATTCATTTCGTTATAATTAATATCACAATAAAAGAGCAGAATACAATATAAAATATATCTTTGAAAACATTGAAATAAACATGTCAAGTTATTCGAGATAGCGAACTGGACTTCAAGCGGTTATTTCGAAATTGTACAGAAATACTTCCAAATAAACTGATTTTATTTGTCGGGAAAGCGGAAAACAAAGCCGTTGCCAAGGGCGTTGCTATGGGAAAAAGTAAATACCCATGGAATTTATCCAAATTTCACTCCCTTCGGTCTTGGAACAATTGGCGAGCATTTTATAATGGAACATGTCATTTTATAATGGATTAGTACTATAGTCCCCGAACATATAACTGAAGAATGAAAGAAACTATTAGTGGAACCATTCACCACACAGATCAGCGAAATAGATTTGGACATTCCGTCTATACACTTTGACATGATTAGTCTAGGTGGCTGAATAGAGGAAATACGGTCTAAAATAACCTCACTCATTGGTATGCAAAACAAAGAAAATACAGAACAACACATACAGGAAGAAGTACAGAGTCGCACAAGGAACAACGGAATAAAGAAGTACGATAAAATGCCAAAAGGAAAACAATACGAACTACAATGCCAAATTTGATTAAAAAAAATAGAGAAAAAAAGAAGAACAAACTAATTTATTTTACAAAAAAGTACAAAAATCATGAAGATTAAATTAAAAAAACAAAAAACTGAACTATCATACTGTAATATCAATTACGTACTTGTTTGGAAGGTGGAACCATGTCATAATAAGTGCATCCTATGATAGTATCCAATGTTGATTGAAATTGACTGGATGACAATAATTGACATTCTGTTTCATTACACATTTGAAACGAGATACATAGACAGTCTTCAAAACAAGCCAGAAAACAATCCATCACAGTTTTCATTGTTAAATTACGGAATGCGGAACCAGTCAGCGCCTTTCCTTCCAAAGCTTTGTTCACTTCAATCGTGTACTGTGAGCTCACCAAAACTTCGAAACCACTTATTATCATAATGGCAGCAACGGCTGCGAATAACTTCAATCTCGTATTATTTCTAGAATATTTAAAAAAACTAATTAAAACCCTTTTAATTAAATAAAGTATCTTGGACCCTGTTCAAAGATATTGATCTCGCCTTGGCGAGATCCATTTCCCTACGCTCTCTTTTATTCAGAGACAGTCGTCCTTACAGGCGATTTGTCATGTAAACAGTCACCTTGGTCCCTCAAGCAGGAATCTCGCTCTTGCCGAGTGGTTTGGTGCATGGTGGCAAAGGCCCTTAAAATGACAGGTCCGAAATGTATTCTGCATATTTTTCTCAATCATTTAAAACATTCTTTGAAACGATTTTGTATTTTGGGCAACTAAAGATCACCAGAAAGATTAAATTTACTCCATGCCCTCAAATGAGATTTACTCCATGCATGCACGCTGTAAATCGCAAAATCAAAGAATACAGTAAGTCAGTTAAAAATTGAGTTTCGTTTAATTATGTGGTTTATACTAAAACAATTAGATAACTTAGCCTCGTTGTCTCTCAGCAAATATAGTGAACTCGGCTTCGCCTCGTTGACTATTCGCTCATAGACAACTCGGCTAATTCGTTGTCTAATTGTTAACAATATAGTAATTGAGAAAGGTGGAAGTTTGGGTTCTATACAAGTTTTTTCTTTATATGATGGGAAAACAAAATTGCACCTCCATGCAGCTTTTACAATTTAACTTTCTCGTTGGGATTTTGGATTTTAGTCCAGGATTTTATTGGGATTCGGACATTTATATACACAAAATACATATAAAATATTACAGAAAAATAAATACTATATAGATTACATTAAGAGCGCTGTTATGAAAGTAACAGTTGTGCACCGTGACCAAAGTAGCCTATATTAGGCTTTTGAGTTGACCACTGCCAATATAAGTTAGTTACTAGGAGCGAGATAGAGCTTGAGGTATTTAATCTTGTGAAAAAAAAGTAAAAAGTGCGCATATTTTTTTTGAAAACTTGTAACTGAAGTTGCAAGTTTAATTTCAGAATCAATACTTTGCCATATTTTGCGAAGAGACAGAATTGAATGTATGAACACCATAATTAGTTCGAGCTAGCTTTTGGTCTATTGAAATTTTGATTATCAGCAAATCGAAACTGTTGTACGAGTGGCATGCGAAGGCAAGCTGGACAGTTTGTATGTGAATATACCAATTTTCAACTTTAAAATGGTATCAAGTTTCAGAAAATTTAATCCCCGAGCCGACGGCGCGAAGCGCCGTGCGAGGGTACTAATTCCCCCTGGCTATTTACACCCGGGGAAACGAAAGCATTAGGGAAGTCTAAAGTTCATCAATTATCGCGGGCGTGGGTGACCAACCATGGGTGGTTATCCTCACTGATCTCAGAAATATGGCGGACTGTCATGAATAGCGGACACTGATTGGTCCAGTTTAAAGTTTGCATTATAACGACTGCATGACGACAGCAAAATAGCAAATATTTCTTGGTTTGATGATTGATGAATTTTTTCTCGCATTTTTGCAAGATTTTGTAAATTTCAAAAGTTTTCTCATAAAGAAAGGGAGAAAGAATCGGCTAAAACAAGGGAGCCGACGTTAACGGAGGTAAGTTTGTTTTAAATATTGATTTTATAATGGATTTAAAACCCGACGGCCTTTGCGTATATGAAACAACTAAACAAGACAGCATATAATTTCAGTATATCTTTAATATTGACTCCCTTTTTTATTATATTGAATTTTTTAAATAAAAAAGAAAGCAAAGTTATTTGTATGCGAGAATTTGAAATCATTTTATTGCAAACTTAAAGTTTATCGATAAAGCCATTTAATTAAAGGCAGTTTAGTTTTATAAAGAACATTTTAATTAAAACGTTTTGCGAAGCGTTTGTGGTTGAATTTTACCTTAAATTGAAGCTTATATTACGTACAATAACATATCTAACATATATATGTTGGGAAATTGATAATTTTGTAATTAAAAGTGATATTTTTAGGCGATTTGTAAGAATATTCTTAAAAAATTATCGTGTTACCATGACAACTACTCTAGATACTTCATGTTCGGAAAATACAATGGTTTTGACAGCAAGGCGAGGGTTTCTGCATGCATGTATTTTCTAGTATATTGTAATATGGCGTAGCATTTTCACTAATATGGGCAAACAAAATGCTTTTTTATATATGCATCCCGATAGCATCTCAATTTATTAAGAACAGCTGTGACTTGTGTATGTATTATCCCAACTCATTGATTAAGCCTTAATAAAGATGAGGCTAAATATTAGAGTATAATAAATATGTTTACGTGTCTATAAATCGGTGTAATATCTAATTAATTTATTGTCAATACTAAACACCTAGGCCTAAATATTTTATATACAATTTTTCTTTAACATTATATGTTAATATTTTCTTCTCGGTAGATGTAATTACCACATAGCTAGTCTTGTTGTAGTTTATCAAAATTTTATTCAATATTAAAATACTGTATATATTATATATAATGTAGTTCACCATTCGTTACTCGTACAAGTTTATCCATATAGATATATGCGAATAAAGTATATTCGGATATACGTCAGCAAATATTCGAAAATAAATTAACTTTTTTCTAATAATCTGTTGTTTCCAATATGTGGAAAAATACAAATAAAAGTATAAATCCAAATTGATAATCGTAAGTGATTTTCCGCTTTTTTAGATAACTTTGCCATTGATTATATACTAAGCCAATATTCTTACAAAGGGTGATAGAATCGATACACGTCTATAGTTATTTGGATCCATCACCGCTCCACTCTCAAAGGATGGTGTGATGCTAGCTATTTCCAGAATATCATGGGGAAGCAGGTGTTAAAAATGGAAATGCGGCACCAACTTCATTCACTATCCCGACGGCAAAGAAATTCTTCAGAAATAGTTACTCCGAAATATTTGCGGATATACTTTTCTCATATACATGATTGTTGCGCATACATGACAAATCTATTAAATAGTTACACTTTTCTCCTATAATCCGAACAAATTTTTATTCAGAATCGATAAGAATTTTTTATTTCAACGCCAAAATTTTATCTGAGCGTATTAAGGTAGCTCGATATAATTTTCAAAAACTTCTGCTGTATAACAGCTTGACTGTTTAAAACGTCCTATTTTTAGGTTTTATGAAGCAGATAACAAGATGTTCATCCATTTTAATAATTCTTCTTTCAAGTTATGTCAGTTTTAGTAACACATAGCGGTTCCTATGGCAACACACGTGTACGAAATTCACTCTTTAACAGCCTCTTGCTTTGTGTAATAGGAAAATAAGCATGGGGACACCCAATCTTTTTCCTGCACTATTTTACTTAGAGCACAGGCTAACAATAAGCAAAAAATTCTGCGATGCCATTTCTTTGGAAAAACACCAAAATGTCGTTTTCTTCAATGAAATTTTTTTTAAATACCGATTTTTATATTTTGGGAATATTAAAAGACTTTTGCACTACTGACAATACAATGTGCAAAATTTAAAGATCTTTAAACATAGGTCACAGGACAAAATAATGAGATATAGCGCACTGTTTTTCAAAATTGGCATTTCTAATGACGTCAGAAATTGACATGGAACGTGCTTATACAACAGGTACAATGGCGCGAGATGGTGTGTGGAAGCCGCCAAGTCAGTATAAAATATGTACAGTAAGTAGTTTCGTTAGCATTCCCGCGGGCACGATAGGTCCTGCGAGTTTGTTCAAAAAGGAAAAACATTTTGTTTTCACGATTCTTAACTACAAGGGATTTTGTGTGGATTAATATATCGACTATCGAGCGA